ATTTCTTGGATTATGTTCCAAAGATTTAATCTTTTATCACTAGAACTAATTGGTGTGCACTCTTGAGAACTGTCTCTGGATTTTTAAGATCTTACCCAGACTTGAAAACTATCTCTGGGTTTTTAATTTGAGAAAGCCATAGGACTTCACTTGATTACTGGGTTTTACTTAAACTTCTATCTCTGGGTTTCTTTTAAGTTCATCTACATCAAGATTTGAATCTTAATAAGCTAAGATGGGGGGCAAATCTAGCAAAGCAGTGAGTGGTCAAGAGGTATCTTCCCAAGGCAGGGCCGATTCTCAGTTCGAATCAGACTTGAGCTCCTACGAGGCTGCTTGTAGAAATGATTCAACTTTGCAGCAATTTGATGCGACTCTCCATCAACGCACCAACGATGTCATTGGCACACTCGCTGCTGGTTTGGGTGTTCAATCTTTATCTTTTGACTCGTTCAAACAGGTCACCGGATGTCTTCTTGAAACAAACCAGGAAGTGGTGAAAATCATTTTAGAATGTCATAAAGATATTTGGAAAAACCCGGACCTGTTTTCTTTGGTTGAGGAATACTTTGAGAACAGTAAGAAGACATTAGAATTTTGCACTGCTCTTGAGAATTGCCTCAAACGAGCTCGAAACAACCAGTTAATTATTCAGTTGGCTGTAACATACTTCGAAGAGGAGGTGGGTTTACAAGTTGGGGACGGTGAGAGGAAATTTGTGAAGACTTTGGAAGAACTAAAGAAATTTAAAACAGCCGAGGAGCCATTCACTAAAGAGTTCTTTATACTGTTTGATTTGGTCCGTAGGCAGCAGGAATTAATGCTGCGGAAATTGCAAGCTCGGAAGAGGAAGCTTGATAAGAAGTTGAAATCCTTGAAAACATGGAGGAGGGTGTCAAATGTGTTGTTTGTAGCCACTTTTGTTTCGGTGTTGATCTTTTCTGTGGTGGCAGCAGCCATAGCTGCACCGCCCGTTGTCACAGCTTTGGCAGCTGCATTGGCAGTTCCTATTGGTTCGGTTGGTAAATGGTGCAACTGGCTCTGGAAACGCTATGAGAACGAGCTGAAAGGGCAGAAGGAGTTAATAATAGGAATGGAAATCGGTTCTTGGATTGCAATCAATGACTTGGAAAACATAAGAGTGCTTATCAGTCGGTTTGAAATTGAGATAGAATCACTATTGCATAATACTGATTTTGCACTTAGAGAAGAAGATGCACTGAAGCTTGCAATTGATGAGATCAAGAGAAAGTTGGAAGCATTTATGACAATCATCGAGGAATTGGGTCAACAGGCTAATACTTGTGGCCGTAATATTAGGATGGCAAGGACAGTGGTTTTGCAGAAGATGATGAAACGTTCTGGCAGTTCATCAACAGGTGACAGCCCTTGGGAACTCTAGCAATGACATATATTCACTGTGTTTATGTTGTATTAATCTCATGCTCTATTCGAGGTAATGAAGTTCCACCTCTACAAGTGAGTATAGTATATGTGTATTTGATCATATATATATATGTAGCAATTACATTGTTCAGTCAATCTAATTTTGGTTCGATTTTGCATCTTCCCTGATTGTGTCAAGTGTTTAGACATGGTTCGGAGTGAACATGTAGGATTTTGATATGAACTTAAACCAATTGAAGACTCTTCTAACATAAAAAAGGTTTCCATGTTTGCTCACCTTATTACATATTTGCCGGGGGACGTGCCTGTTTAAGTATTCATCCGTTGTTAGAAAAGATATCAAGTTAGCTGTGTTTATGAAAATCATGGTCTATTCAGGTGATTTGTTGGCACTGGTTGCAGGGATGTAAAAGGGGCATTTATACAAAACATTGTTTTTTTAATTATTTAACAAAATAACATCCAAGCTAATTATTTTCGAAAATGATATATATATATATATATATTATCAGGTGTTCTATGTCGGTCAAAAGCACGTTCTTTAACGATCTAGACTCAATCTATACGTTACAACTAGATTTAGTGGATTAAAATAGAAAATTTTCCAAAACATTTTTTTGATAATTTAAAACCATATTATGAATGAATATCTTTAAAAATATAGTTGATAATATTAAAGTTCAATTCCAGTAAATTAAAGTCGTAAGAACTGTGTAAAATAAAAATATTCTATAATCAGTATCGAAGCAAATCTAACATCAATAACAAAAGCAATATACGTCGTTAAACAAGTATTTTCAAATTATAGACACATGTCACCCAAAATAAATGCAACTCGAAAGATAAAAATATTAGAACAAAATAATATTGTACGAATTTTTCAATCCTCCAAGTGTTAGGTTCGGGCGCCTATAAAAAAGTATCTGAAAGATAAAAGTTTGGGGAGTGAGTTAAGGAGCTCAGTGTATTCTAGCAATGCAAAATAATTTTTTTGTTTAACAAAATAAACAACCAAGCTAATTATTTTCGAAAATGATATATATATATATAGGGTAAACTACACGGGAGACCACTAAATTATGGTCAAAAATCAATTTGACCACTGAAGTTTTAATTGAATCAATCAGACCATCCAACTATTTAAATGTTTCAATCAAGACACAGACCGTTAATTTTTAACGGAGGTGATGGCGTGTCCGTTAATAAAATTAGCATAATTATATATTTGGCCATTAATATTTACATATTCTATCAATTTAGTCAATATTTTAATTCAATTAAATAAATTTAACTATCCAATTAGAATATGACATGGGTCAATACATGATTGAGAAGTTTTATTTATGAATTTTAAATTATTTAATTAAATGATTTTTCTGTCCAACCAGGTGGTGACACATGTCACCACCAAATTGGAATGAAAATAAAGGGATAAAGTTGCGCTCAAAGATTTTCAAATCAATGTAGGGGGGAGGGGGAGGATTATGAGCAACCAGGCATCCAAACCATTGGGTCAGGTCCAGAATAGTTTAAACTTACAACAATTTGTATTTGACTTTTAAAAGTTTGTTAATGATAAAAAATTAAACAAATTATTTGTTTAAATAAAGTTTACAAGTAGGGGTGTTCAATCATTCCAATCATGTATTGACACGTTTCATGTTCTAATTGGATAATTAAATTTATTTAATTGAATTAAAATAGTGACTAAATTGATAGAATATATAAATATTAATGACCAAATATATAATTATGCCAATTTTATTAACGGACACATCACCACCTCCGTTAAAAATTAACGGTCGGTACTTGATAGAGACATTTAAATAGTTGGGTGGTTTGATTGATTAAATTGAAACTTCGATGGTCAAATTGATTTTTGACCATAGTTTAGTGGTCTCTCATGTAGTTTACCCTATTTTTTATCAGGTATGTCGGCCAAAGCACGTTCAGTCAACTATTCTTTTGAAAGACACAAACGGGCCTTTATTTTGTATGATACAGGCATACAGCCAGTTAGAAGCCTCTAATATTTAATTTAGAGAAAACGGAGGAGACGACCTACCTAATGCTGAAACAGATATACATAAAATACATTTTATTTAACACCGAAACAAGAATATAAATTCTACAATTGAACGCAAGATTTGAATTCTAAGAATGGTGCTGCGACTTGAAACCCACGCTTTCTCAGTAGCTTGTTTACGTCTCTCTCTCTTTTACTTTAGTATCTATATTGTATAATTTCCTGCTTCTGCAAGCTTGATTTCTACCAAATAATTTTTTAATGGATTGGGTCATCAATTTCGGCTCAAGTTGGTAAAAGAGGTCGAAAATAGTTGTTGAAGGAATTCCAGTTACAAAATTATAATTGATTTTTTTTAATTTCATTAAGATTTATATCTTAGAAAATAATGATATTTAAAATACTTGGAGATAAAATTAAAGATAAATTATAAATTTAGTAACTAAATTATCTAATCACTCCTATTTTATTTAATTTTAAAAAAATTCAATTTATAATCAAACTTTATATATTTATTTATTTATTTTATAATTCTACGATGATATATTATTTTATTATTTTTTTCATATATAACAGGTAAATTTTATTAATATTTTAATATCGCATAAGATTAGAATAAAAAATAAATTTAAAAAACTTAAACTATAACCTTAAAATTTAGACTCAAATCTTAATTCATCAAATTATATCCCAAACCGTAAACTCTAATTTACAACTCTCACCCTCCCCGACAGGCGGTAGCTCATCGACGATTTTTAATGCATGTGTTATTTTCCTTGAATAAATTTCATATAGGTTTTAACCTATTATTCTTCATTTTTTTATTTTGATCATAAACCTTAATATGAGATAAATTATTCAATATATCTATCATGTAGAAAAAGGAATGTCTTCCAAAGCACGCAATTTAAAATGAGCTTTTGTGTGTATGTATTTTTTTAAAGTGCCATTTTAATTTAAAATAAAATTGTTTGATGTGATTTGATTAAAGAGATAAATTTGCTACGTTAATATGGTGGGAAAATGAAATTGTTTATATGAAATAGTGCAGATTTTTTTTTTTTTGGATCATATGATATTTTCGGGAAGACACGACGTCTTCCCTCATCAGCTCTGGTGCTCATCTTTTTCTTCTTCCAAGCTTCATCAATGGTGCCTGCTAGTTCTCACGCCTTTTGCTCCTACAACAGTTCAAGTTCAGCCTCAACCAACTTAAGGACAACAACGATATCATTATTTTTATGTCGAAGGTTGAGAAGACATCGATTTTTTTATACATCTTCATAAAAACGTCACATAATCTATTCGTCTTTTTCGATTCACTATAAAGATCACCTTATTTAAAAAAGTCTGGTAATCCATATTTGAAGAATTTTTCTATCTTATTATTTTGGTGATTCTGCTGATTAAAAAAACACTTTTTAAGTATTACTTCTAAAATATTTCTTTATTATAATTTTTTTATTAGAATAAACTATTATATTTTATGTGCACGACTTTAAAATCTTAATTTATTTTTATAAAACGAATATTCATTTCCTTCTCTAGATTGGTTTAAACTTGGAAGAAACATCACGGAAAATTTCGAGTACCCTCGAATATTCCCGAAATTACCTATCACCCATTTAAGAAATTTGTACCTTCACTCTATCAATCAATTCTTTTGATTCTCAGGTTTGTTTCTTTAACCAAAATCTTAAATCTGTTACCTTTCTTTCTCAATTTATAATTTTTTAGATTATAATTTGTGATGGATGCGAATGCGGTTGTGTTTATAGATTTTTTTCTGGATTTAAAAAATTTGAATTATATTCTGATTTTAGATTAGGGATTTCATTTTTTTTTTGCCCAATAACTTGAGATTGGATAATTTGACGATGATTTCGAAATTTTTGATTTTTAGAGTTTTATCTGGTTTGTGGTTTTTGGAATCTCAAATTTTCTTCTTTTCAAAAATGGGGAACTGGGCTTTGAAGTGATTGATCGTAAGTGTTTTTTTTTTCATTTTATTCCGTAACTTGAATTTCTGGAATTTTAAATGCTTGCCTCTTCAATTCGTGCATTTTCCTGATGATATTTTGATTTATTGCTTTAGGTATATAAGCAATGGCGAGTGGTTTTGGGGAATCAACAAGCATTCCTCCCCCGCGTCAATCTTGCTCTAGTAGTATTAATGCTAATGATGCTGGTGATTTCGAATGCAATATCTGCTTCGAATTGGCTCATGATCCAATTGTTACACTTTGCGGTCATCTCTTCTGTTGGCCATGCCTATACAGATGGTTGCACCATCACTCGCATTGTCAAGAATGCCCGGTCTGCAAGGCCCTCATACAAGAGGAAAAGCTTGTTCCCCTTTATGGCACGGGCCAAAGCCAGACCGATCCGCGTTCAAAATCGTATCCGGACATGGAAATTCCTAACCGCCCAGCCGGGCAAAGACCAACAACTGCTCCACCACCACCCCCAGAAACCAACCAGTTTGCCAATTATGGGTTCGGACTAATGGGCGGTTTTGTTCCGATGGCAACTGCAAGGATCGGAAACTTCACGATGGGTTTTGGGGGCTTATTGCCGTCCTTGTTCAATATTCAGTTTCATGGATATCCAGATCCTGCTGTGTATGGATTCCATACATTTCATGGTGCTCATGCTCATGGGTTCCCCCCACCGACAACTCAAGGGCAGCAGGCAGATAATGTTTTGAAGAATCTTCTTTTGTTGATTGGTGTCTTTGTGGTTCTTGCTCTGCTTTATTGGTGAAAATAGTTTTTAAGCCCTCGGCCAGTGGTGGTTATTTAGTGTCTGTAAATATACCAGCAGCACTGGGGATTACGTTTTTGGCTTGAGAGAAAGTTGTCTATATGATACTGTCATTTTGTCTCATTTAGCATCAAGAACAACTCAAACCGGTGTCTATTTCTCTTTATCAAAAATAAAAATTAGTGATAGTTTTCATTTTCTTCCTCTTAGGCACTGGGTCTCGATGATTGCTTGTTCGGCTATACCATTGCGATTTGCTAGTTATGTAATCACAACTAGCAGGTGAAGAAGCGATCCGACATATCCTATTATGCTCTGGCATGGAAATCTTGTTCTTATCATCTTAAAGCGAATGTTCCAAGTGGAATGCATCCTGTCCAATAACTGAGGCGAAAACAGGTGACATTTCTGTGATTGTTGTTAATGCTGAGGAGAATAACAGCTTCATTTACCATCTTTTCATCGTCTTTTATGGCACTCTTATGTGAAACACCACTTGGTTAATAGAAACTTCCCATTCATATGATCAAAACCCTTGGGTTGTGTGTCGCAACCGTATTTCGGGTGGATCCGAAATTAGACTTCGACTTGAATAAAATGATTTGGAGTCGTCACCGATCATTTAAAAAAATATTTAAGCCGATCGGACACCATCTTACTTGATCTACGTTTTATTAAAAATGTGTCGGGTTCGAGAGTCGATTACAGTAAAGGAATGATTAACACCCTTGTACTGTCCTTTCAGTATCAATTAATTCGTCGGTTGTCTTTAATTGTGAAAATTAAAAATTTAAATTGAAATTTAAAAATCCGATTCAAATTACTTATCTTTGATTAGTTAAAAAATTCTCCTAAAAAGTCAAGAATATCGTTAGATTATAAATTAAAAAATATATATGAAAAAAGGAAAAAAATATAATAATAATAATAAAATAAATAAGATAGATAAATAAGGATAAATAAAATTGAGTAAAAAAATAATAAAAAAGGGAAAAATAATTATGAAGATTTGCCCCATGGATTTAGCCCACTTCTGTTAATGGTATGTTGTGTGCAGTTCAATTTCATTCCCAGAAACTACAATGGGCTGGCGATGAGATTTGCAAGCGAGGGAGTGCTTAGATCAGGGTTGTTAAAGCTTGGTGGTAGGATTAATGTTGTTTACGGGGTCGGATTATGGGGGAATAAAGCGCAGTTTAATATTTTCCTGTTATTTGGGTTAAGGAGGCTTATAGTCTTCGAACTAATAGTACTGGGGTGAGTGTCACTAGTCATTTTGAATGAACCGAGCTAGGCAAATCAACAAATAGATGGAGGACACTGGCGTCAAGAAACAAAATCCACAAGTAACACGGGCAGATCTAAACCACAATGAATACCAACTTACTAAAAAATCCAGAATCACACAAACAGTCCTGATCTTCGCAAAACGCCTTAAATCATTGATAAAACAAGATAAAGATACTCGATTTAAAAGACTTATGTAGCGTTTGATTGGATGGAATCTCTTGGAATTGGGGGAATTGGAATCTAATTCCATCACTTTCCCAAGTTTGGTTCAAGCTTTCTAAGAGAATTGAAATCCCTCATGGCTTCAACTTTCCATCAAATGAGGGAAAGTGAATTCCATCCAACTTGTTGGAAGGAATTGAAATTTGATTATACTACCCTCATCAATATTTTGGTAACTTATTCATATATTGAATAAAAATATTTTTTATTATTTCGGGTCGGGTTTCTAATTCTTATATTCGGGTCGGGTCAGGTGAAACTTTATTTTGGTCGGGTTGGGTCGGTTTTTTTAAGTGTGATATTCGGGTCGGGTCGGGTCGAGTTCGGGTTTAGGGTGAAAAATACCCGACCCGAAAATATATATAATTTTACCTTATATATTTAAGAATAATTACAATAATATCTCTCTCTATATATTTTTTCAATTAAGTCACTGTTTTTATTGAATAAAAATAATTTTTTATTATTTCGGGTCGGGTCGGATTTCTAATTCATATATTCGGGTCGGGTCGGGTCGGGTGAAACTTTATTTTGTTCGGGTAGGGTTGGGTTTTTTTTAAGTGTGATATTCGGGTCGGGTTCGGGTTTAGGGTGAAAAAAACCGGACCGACCCGAAAAAATATATAATTTTATCTTATATATTTAGGAAAAATTATAATAATATCCCTCTATATATAATTTTTTTCAATTAAGTCAATGTTTTTATTGAATAAAAATAATTTTTTTATTATTTTGTGTTGTGTCGGGTCGGGTTTCTAATTCATATATTGAATAAAAATAGTTTTTGATATATTTTTTTGTAACTAATTAACATACTCCGATTGGAATGTATCGAAATATTACTCTATCTTTTGGTAACTTATTAACATATTTTGATTGCGATGATTTTAACTTATGATGTTTATTAACATGATTTTTATAATTTATTGAAATGAATAATCAATTAATAAAATGAAAATTTAATATTTTTAAATTTTTTATAATATATTACTACATGTAAGTTATAAAACAAACTAAAATAAAATAAAAAAACAAGAATGACAATTCTGTCATTTTACATTACTGAAATCAAATTCATGTGACATGTCTGCAAAACTAAACAAAATAATTCCATTTCCATTTCCTGCCAACCAAACATAATATGGAATTGAATTCCAATTCCTGACAGATTCTAATTCTTCACAGATTCTAAATCCCTTGTAAATATTCCAACGAACCAAAAGCCACCTTAAGATATCAAGAGAGGATCGCTAGTTTGCTCTTTCTCCAATGAGTCACGGCAAGTCAAACATTATTGCAATAAAAAAAACATACCTTCATAGAAACAGACTTCTAAATCGATGCAAAGATGAAGAACAATGTGCAGACAAAGACGATAAATGAAGCAAAGGAGAAGAACCTTAATCGAAACACATTAGAAATCACGAAGAAGCAGTAACCACCAGAGCAAAAGCGAACAGGATCTGCAGGTCAACTTGGCAAAAGGTACCATCTCAAGATCTTAAATCTAGAGTAGGTGAAGCGAGAGATGATGGAACGAGCAGTGATCGGGGTATGTTGATCCTCGAGTTGCATTCTACTTGTTGTTTCCAGCTGCCCAGTGATGTAATAGATTCCATTCTGACCCTCCTTCATTCTGGTCGTATAGTCCTTCAGGCTCGTCACCTCATCACCACTCTTGGTGGAGTGGTAGCGGAACAATTCAGCAATCTTATTCCTGTTCTGAGAGTCCTCGTGGATACCAAGCTTGAGGTTCTTGGAGAAAGCCTCGTAAAACTTGTTGTAATCTTCCTTGTTCTCGGCTATTTCAAAGAAGAGCTCAATGCGCTTCTTCACCAAGTTCTTGCGGATAACCTTCAAGATCTTGTTCTGCTGCAACGTTTCTCTCGAGATGTTGAGAGGAAGGTCCTCCGAGTCGACGTACCCTTCACAAAGCTGAGGAACTCGGGAATCAAAAGTTCATTTGAATAAATAGGCAGGCCCCTATAAAGATTCCCACTTTCATTTTTTGAGGAGAGACGTTCGAGGTGGTGAGTGAGGTTTAGGCCTGTAAATGAATCGAACGCATATGAACGAAGGTATGTTCATGTTCGTTTATTTAATAAATAAACGAACATAAACGAACATAAACGAACACGAACATAAATGAACAAAATTTTTTTTGTTCATGTTCGTTTATTAAGGAATATAACTTGTTCATGTTCGTTCATTTAATAAATAAACAAACATAAACGAACACGAACATAAATGAACACGAACATAAACGAACATAAACGTTGGAGACCCTACCTTCCATTGTTCTTTCATGAAAAATAGTCGACAATGCAAATCAACCAAATCTACAGTGATAAATAGCGTAAGAGCTTATTAGTAGTGATGAAATGTTTGAAGATATCAAATATTTCGATCGATCTTTTAAAGATATTAAATGATTCACACGACTTTAATTTAACGCTATAACATTTATCTTAGTGTTCCATGATTACATATGAACAATCATTTTCCGCTATTACACTCTTTTTCAGAAATTACATAGAAACATTTGTTTTGTTTTTTGGCAAATTCTATATATTTTTCTTTTTACTGATGCTCATATACTTCCGATTTTTACCTTTATCTTCCCATCTATTTCTAGAAAGAAGTATTATGTTTTCTTGAGTTTTAGATGTGAAGATACCCACAATAACTTTACATATCAACTATTAAGTCAAATAAAACAGAGAAAGAGATGAAAACAGACCTGTAAAACTTCATATTGTACTATAATATAACTTGTTTTGAATCTTTCAGAGATCGTCTCCACTCTCCAGTGAACAATAAGGTTTGGGAAAAAAAGGGGGAAAATGAATATAAGTGCGAGGTACCTCACATGTTAACATATTGGATTTAATCTCCAAATAAAATTGGGTTAATTATGGAGTTGGTCATCAGAATATCATATTAATATTTTTTAAGATACTTACAAATTGGTCACCAAAATTGATTTAAGAAGATTGGGTTAAACATAAATGAATGAACATAAACGAACGTAATCGAACGAACATAAACGAACATAACCAAACGAACATAACCGAACGTTCACGAACGTAAATGAACGAACGAGACCTATGTTCATGTTTGTTCATTTAATTAAACGAACAAAAAATCTTGTTCATGTTCGTTCATTTAATAAATAAACGCACATAAACGAACTTCCCACCGCACGGTTCATAAACGGTTCGTTGAACGTTCAGTTCATTTACAGGCCTAGTGAGGTTGGTAATTAGTGGTTTAGTGGGTAAGTAAATTATGTTTTTTAGGGGTTTGTGGAATAGTGGGATTGAACATAAGGTATACAATAAATAAATAATAATAATAATAATAAATAAATAATAATTAATATAATAATAATAAATAAATAAATAAATAATAATATAATAAAATATTTTTGTAGATCCGAACAAAAACGGGTGTCTACATTGTGGTATTTACCTTTTCATCCTAGATGAATCTATATAGAAAACAGTGGGAAAATCAGGGGTTTAAGAAAACAATATCCCATTACTTCTTAATCATGTGTCAAGTATGGAAAAAAACCCAAAAAGAATTTGTATATATGTCTAGTTCAAATATCACCAATAAATAAAGCTGCTCAAATGCGGTCGTGGAATCGCACCTTAGATTTATATTTGTCAAGAATGTTGCACAAAATGGGCATTTTTTAAAGTGCTCCCATAGAAAATGTTACTACATTGTGGTACAATTGTTTATGGATGTATGAGTGTCATTCGTTCTGAATTCTTTAAGAAATAGTAATTAAAATATTCTAATATTATTTTGTAATATTTAAATATGCACAAATTAAATTAAATATCTAGAAACATATATTTATATTACTAATCTGTCATAACATTTAACTTTGATGTTATTTTTTTGGATAAATTATATTTACATCAACTAAGAGTTATTTTTTTCAATATCTAAGTTTTAATAATTCCGTTGGGATTGGTAATATAATTGTTTATCATAAAATGGTCATTATATCATTAGTTCATATTAAACAAATGATATAACATGCTAAAAAATAAAATTTAATTTGATCTCTAAACTATAATTAAAGTACAAATTTAGTTTATAAAATATAAATTATAAATTATTTCTTAAAAGAAAATTTTATTTTTTAAAATTAAAAAAGATATTTTGTAACTTATCATAAACGAAGACAGAGACTTAAGTGTCTCCTTTATGTCTTACCTCTGATGCAAAGAACGGACACGACAGGTCTATGCATTTAATGTTGGACACGATATCTGGATCATATTATGGGGGAATTAAAATAGAAACTATGCTGCTAAGTGGCGGATGCACTAAGTCCCATAGAAGTTAAATATATCTATTTATTTTGAAAAATAAGTTAAATTTAATTTAATATGTTAAGAAAAAAAGAAAAAATTATAATTTTTGCATATTTTTTTTAAAAAAAATTAAATTAAATTTTAGACTCTATTATTCAATTTTTAGATTCGCTACCGACTGTGATAGAGATTTTCTACACACCGATGACTCATCCTATAATTCACATGATATCTATTTAGCTAGTTTTAGACTGATATTATTATTTTTTGGTGCAAAAGAGTTTAGAGAGTAATTTTAATTTAATAAAATATGCTTTAAAGATTTGATTTGCCTCCATTACAACTTTATTATACCCTTATTACATGGCTTTAATTGGATTTGATTCCATTTTCTTATGCCGTAAAGGATGATTAGGGAGCAAATTTAGGAACTAGAAAAAATAAAATGTAAAGCTGCTTGAGTTTTGATGCCTCCGTTTTCGTAACATTAATAAAATAAATAAATATAACGATGAGATATATTATATTTTAAAAGTAAAATTTGAATTTTAAAAATAATTACAAAATGAATATATAATAAAAAAACACTTAACTCATAAAACTTTAAAATTCAGTTTTAGTTCAATCTATTTTTATTTTTTAACGTTGGAAGTTAAAACAAGATAAGAAAATAGGTGAATTGCTCTAAACATCACTGACTTTTAGGGTTTAAATTAATTTTTTTCCAAAATTTTAAATGGTTTGAATTATATCATTTAACTTTAGTTTTGGCTCTAATTATAACATTGAGTGATTAACTTATTAATAATGTGATGACATGAATATATATAGAGATAGAATCTTGTTACACATATATTGAATAATATAATGTAATTATAAAGTAGTATTTTAAAAAAATATTATTTATTAATTATTAACAATACACACCCGCAGACGTAACTGCTTGAGACTTAGGACCCTAAGAAAAACACTTCTTTTAATCATTGAAATCACTTGATAGGTACCTGACCATTTTTTCATTAATTTTAATTTTATTATTAAATTTATTATTAAATTTTAAAACATTTAATTTTAGATACTAAATTTTTTAATTGTATTTAACTATCCATTATTACAAGTCCGATACTAGCTAAAAAGTTCACAGTAACTTTAAAATATAATAGATTTAGTGTAGTTTATCTCAAATGGAATTGCTCGTACCTGTTTGATTAGATTATATTGTTAGTGAAACGTGGTTTCAAGACAAAGGGTAGTGGATATCATTGATATGTCGCCTTCCTCAATCTGAAAAAGGTTAAAAGCTACAATCTAACATTGGTTTTGTTTTTCTTCTAATATCTGGATCCTCCGTCCTTCCCCACCAAGGCAAAATGTCACAACTTTCATTAATCCCACCACGTGATCACCTGGCTCCTCCACCGACAGCAGCAGCACCTACTCCTCTTCCTCCTCATCTCCGTCAACAGTGCTGCCCCTGTCTCTGCCGCCACCACCAATTACAAAAGATTCAAATAAGCTCCACAGTTTTACAACTCTCCAAACTGCCCTTCCATTGGCACAGACGATATGTGTTCTGTTCATGTAGCCATGACCTTAGATGCTGCCTACTTACGTGGCTCAATGGCCGCCATTTTATCCATCCTGCAACACACTTCTTGCCCTCAAAACGTCATCTTCCACTTCATTGCTTCCGCCACCACCGCACGATCTCCCGCTCTTTTCCTTCCCACTTGTTCCAAATCTACCTATACGACTCAAAAGAAGTGTCGGGCCACATTTCCACTTCCATCCGCTCGGCGCTCGACTGCCCTCTTAACTACGCTCGCATCTACCTCCCCAACCTCCTCCCTATTTGCCTTCGCCGAGTAGTTTACTTAGACTCCGACCTCGTCCTCGTCGATGACATAACTAAACTCGCCGTGACACCGCTCGGAGACAACTCGGCTTTAGCGGCGCCCAAGTATTGTTGAAAAGTCAACAATGTAAGGCACCGAAAGTGCGCACTGAAAATTCTAACTCAATATTATTGAATTTTTTTAAAAGGTAAAAATATTTTTTAGTCATTATAATTTAGGGTATTTATAAATTAATCCTTAAACTTCAACTATAAATACCATAACTCTTTTAGGTTCAAAATTATCCCAAAACATTATAGCTTTCTTCCAATATTAGAGAGAATTTAGAAAGTTTCTTGAGAATTGTTTTCTCCTTTTTATCAAGAGAGAATTATCATTGTTTTCTCCTTGGTAGATTAAGAGAAGTTGTAATTCTTATTTTCTCATAGTGAAATTCTTCTAGCGTTGTCTGTGATTTTTACCCTATATTATTTAGGGTTTTCCACGTAAATTTTATGTCTATTTTATCTTCATATTTTATTTTCTCAAATTATCAGTTACGATTTTACTTTATTCGATAGCCGTATACCGCAACAAGTATTGCAATGCCAACTTCACGTCCTACTTCACCCCAACTTTCTGGTCGAACCCTACACTATCCTTAACATTCTCGGGTCGCAAGGCTTGTTATTTCAACACCAGGGTGATGGTGATAGACTTGCAAAGATGGAGTGCGGAGGATTACACCAGGAAGATCGTAGAATGGATGGAGGTTCAAAAGAGGATGAGGATATACGAGTTGGGATCTTTGCCGCCGTTCTTGCTGGTGTTTGCAGGGAACATGGCGTCGGTTGATCATAGATGGAACCAACATGGGATCGGAGGAGACAATTATAGAGGATTATGTAGAGGTTTACATGCTGATCCGGCTAGTTTGTTGCATTGGAGTGGGAAAGGTAAGCCGTGGGTGAGGCTCGATGCTAATAGGCCTTGTCCCTTGGATGCTTTATGGGCTCTTATGATCTTCTGCAAACAACCTCTGCTTTGGAGTCTTAGATATTTTTATGCATGCTATTCCGATAAATCTATTTACTCTTTTTAGGTTCAATAGTGCCACTATATCTTTCACTCTTGCAGGTAGTGTAGATTATACAGCAGAACATCTTAATGCATACATATACATATATATGTATTATATGTATAATACAAGGTGGAAATATAATTTAAATTATTCACGTTCCATGTTAGAGATGCTTGTTATATAACTTAACGTCCAATTTCCAAACCCATTGTTTTCTTTTTCTAATTTTATTTGTGTAAGAAAGATATGATAAAACTAAACCATAATAAATATCAAAACCTAATCGGATTTAATCATATCAAATAATCAAGAATAAAAACAATCATAAAAAAATAAAAAATTAAATGTGAAAGCATACTTGAATTAGTCAATAAGTTGAAATCATTGAATACTTATTTGGTGTTGATCTTACAAGAAGATATGTTTTCTCTTACTGTAAAGGCTTTCTAACGAGAATAAAAGTGATACAAGTTAACATATTTCTTGGGACCAATGCCTCTTTATATATATTGAATATTAGGTCAATCTTTTAAATATTTATAATTTTATCCCTCATCAATATGATATATACACTTTAATTCAATGACACTTTAATACTATGACACATGTAACATAATTAATCATTTAATTTATAATTAATCATTTATATATTTAATTTTGTTTTATACTTTAAGATAACATTGTATATTACACATATGTGCCCACAATTATATATTTTAATCCGTTATTTTTGTTTTATCATAATTTTTTTTAAATTTCTTCTTCCTTTTCTTTTATCATTTTTTTATTTTCTTTTTGTTTATTTGAGTTTTAATTTTATATTATTCAATAAGTGTTTTCATTTTTTAATAAAAATCGTGGATTTTTTTAATATGCTTCTATAACATCTTTGTCACGACTCATGTGTCATCTTTTAATGGTTGAATTTGATGTTAACTCTCAGGTTGTCGTTTGTTTGATTATTTTATTGATCTATTTTTAATTTAGATCATCAAGTTAATTATCATGTATTTACAACTATTTGTAATCACTCGAGGTAGATCACTTTTGACTTGTGATTGTAACACTCATAGCCCATAAACATATAAAAATACGAGTCATAGATGTTACATCAAACTGACTAATATTCACTATTCACAATTGCTAATTTTTTTAAACATTCATTTTTCAACTTTGAAACTATTTATATCTACTTGAATTTCTTTATCATTTAAAAACATAATATTATATATTCTATGCATACCAAATACTGATAAACTAAACTAGTAAAAATAATCAGTCCTAATTTGCTATTATAAACAATTTAATCGAAAATTGATAAAGCAAACTAATAACATAATTATACATGTCACTACTAGTCAAAAGAAACATTGATGATGTCTTACTGATACTGATATTATAGATGATCTTCACAAGATGCTCGGGAGGCTCCTTATAGTACGTCTGTATCTCTATTAGACCCTACGCATGAAAACCATCATGTGCTAAGTACAACTTAGTAAGACAATAATACTAAATGTGAGAATAAATAAATAAAATATCGAAATAAATAAAAACATTTAAAAACAATGAAGACAAAACTTTCAGAACATTCAAACTAGATATCTCATGCTGAATCTTTTATCAGAAACTTGAAAAGAATCATCTTATGATTTTTTTATGAAATCATAATATGTCATATCAGGCAGAATAATCAGTCAACATCCCTTTTCAGTCAAACACTTTTCAGAACTTTTATTTTTCATTTTTACAGCCCAAAGTATATCTAAGAGAATATAAGGTAAGTGAGTCAGACGAGTGTGCGCAATAAGTTTCTCAGTGTTATTATCATAATTGGAACATATAAACACACACAATGCTATCACATTGGAAATCACAATATGCACACAAAGTGCAATCACAACGAAATATACATACTAGTGTACACATCAGTACACCACAGTATACCAAAATCAGTATATAATCACTCCACCTCATGGCATGTCAATTGTACCTTTGACTCTCAATACAACATACAATGGGATTTCATTTCAATTCATAAACATTTGATAAAAAATCATATCAAAATCAGAATTATATTCAGATCATATTCGTAAAATATAACATGGGCAATTTATACCCAAAATCATTCATAAAACTTTTAAAATATTACGGATATAATTCCATAATCAAAACGTAATTCATATCTTTGAAATAAATAAGGTCAGTGTTGAATCATGTTTTATAATATTTTGATATAACAAATTAAGGCAAAATGTTTTTGGACTTGATTGAATTTGTTCAAAGTTTTCAAAAATAATTCAAAGTCCATTAAACAAGAATTTGAGCACAAAACATTTTTCTGGACAAGTAGTATCGATATTGTTCTTACAGTATCGATACTATATTAACAGTACTGATATTGTTCATGTGGTACTGATACCAAAGGTAAGAGAAGTATCGATACTCTATAGGTAGTATCGATACTATCAGTTGTTTTCCAACGGCTCAAACTCCAGAATACATAGGTATCGATACCCAAAGGGGTACCGATAATACTTTACATAGTAATATCATTACCATGATCACAATATCGATACTGTCAATCCCAACGGCTAGTAATAACTAGTTTTATTTAAAAATAACAAAGGAAGTACCGATACTCATTAAAGGAGTACCGATACTCCCTGTCATGTGTAGTTTATTTTTGTAGAGAAAACATCCCCAAACGGGTCCAAATCATCCCCAACGGCCACAAACACAATCTAACTTATAGTACAAGTTCAAGACACTTGAAGAAGGTTACCAACACTTATCCAAGTATTGATCATCAAGAGAAAAGTTATTTCACTCTTATTTTCTTTTCTATTGTAAATAGTGTGCTTTTGTGAGCTTTAAATTTGTAAACACCATTATTTTTTAGAGGTTTTTCTTGTTTATATTTTTCCTTTGTAAAAGATTTTTAGTTTTGGTTCTATCTTAGCCATTGAAAAGATGAGGGAGTTGTAAAGGTTATCTCTTAATCTTGTAAAAAGAAAAAACAAAATAGTGAATTTGTTAGAAAATCCGAAGTGAGGAGCTTAGGTAGTGGATGTAGACTTTGGTTGAGAAAGTTGAACTACTATAAATCCTTTTGCAACAATTTTTTATCCCTTTAAATCTCTTTACTCCCTAAAATTCTCAAAAAGCCAATTCAACCCCTTCTTGCCAATATTTTCGGTTGTCAATCGAGCTTCTTCAAATCCCAACAGTGAGGTTGACTTATCGTAAGTCGTCCTCGATCAAAATAATTAAATAAATAAATTACACTTACCTTTGCCTCACTACCGAACCTTTATATGCAAATTCTTTATTCGTGTACTTTTTCGTTTCCTTTCGGGTCGTTCAGATCGCTAGGTTTATCTTAGTATGACAATATAATATAAAATATTCAACTATATGTTAGTATCGTACCAACATAATTTAAACTTAAAATATAAAGTCTATAAAAATAAAAATCAATACTAAATCGATACAAACTTAAGTCATGCTTCCATCCAAAATTCAAACTTCTCAAAATACTCTTTAGCTTCCATAAATATTTATTTTCAACTTAAATCCCTCGACTTTTGACAATTACACATTTAAACCAAAATTTTGAATTCTTTAAAAAATTCACATCAATTTTTCCATTAAATTCATAATAACCCTTCACTATTATGATCATATCACATTTTCACATAAAATTTCCATCACTTCAATAAAATCTTCAAATCTGCACTTAAACATTCAAAAGCTTGCAAATTCACCCTAAACTTTCTTAGACTTTTCAATTTCAACCACCTAATTTGGTTGTCATAACCATTTTCCGTAAAACAAGTAAATATTATTTTAAAAAACGATTATGACTTTTAATTTGGAAAAAAATGGTGATTTGGAATTAATTTGAATTAAATCGAAAGGGAGTCGCCATCAGCCTTTGGGTTAGGTAGGTCGAATACCTAAAAACGTATTTTAAAAACAATTTAAAGAAAAAATCATTTTTAAGATAAAAACTGGTCTGTGTTTACCAAAGATTTATTTAAACAGGTTCGGGAGTCTATTACGTGTAGGGAAGGACTAACATCCCACAACGCCCAAAAATTGGTACTGTGTCGCTTACATATCGTCGTGATGGTGGAAACTATAAATCGCATCGATAATTAAAATATGATCCATTTATTGAAATTTAATTAATTTACTTCGAATAAATTAATTACAGAAAATTCTTTAACTCGAAAAGAAATATCGAAATTAGTAATCCTCCATCGGAAAAACTAACTCGACTATTTCTTGTCAATAAAAGAATATTCTCTCATTGATAAATATGCGAATCAAATATAAATAAAATTAACGTTTGCATTCGAATAAAAGGAAATAAATAGTAAATTAAAAAAAACACACATTGCATCATTAAAATAAATTAATTAGTAAAAGAAAATGGATTTATTTTAAGTTCGTATTTGTTCGAATGTTGTATTGGATTATACCACTTCAATCAAGTGATACTTTCCACGCACGTTCTACAAATCGTTGTTCTTGAAAATGATTGAACAAATAAAAATATAGACAACTATATATTTTTACAAGTTAAATAAATCATATTAAATAACGTGGAACAATCATTGGTAATATGTGTACATATATATACGAATATACAAAGGTAAAATAAGTTTAATAAATTTATGTATATAGACATATATGATACGCCATGCGTATGTAATGAAATAAAATAAAAATAAATAAATTTGTACATGCACAAATACATTTGGAACATAATATGTACATGAATAATATAACATGGGTTAAAATGTAAACATGCAAACATGGCAGACCATGACGCAAAATACATAAAATAACTAAACTTTATGAACAAGTGACTAAACTGTGTAAATTGAAATAGCAGTATCAGAATCATAAAATAGAGAAACTAAATTAATCGATGGCTAGAATGAAACAGAACAAAACCAATGGTCAATTACAGAATAAACATGAACTTAAAAGATTCAAACCGTAATTATACC